GTTAATGAAGAGAATGAACTTTTTCTCAAGAAATCTGTTTTTTTTAAGACAAGTACTTATTGCAAGGAAGTTTTATAAGAACATTATCAATAAGATCTTTACATTTCTAACCCAATTAGCTAACTTAAAATATAATCGCGATGGAAAAATCTAGAATTAGTCACGATTAGGAGACAAAATTTGAGGTACGTACGTCATTTCTTAACAAATATAAGAATATGTTGTCTTTATCAAACATATATATATATATATATATATATATATATATATATATATGTCTAAGAATTTGGTTTTCTACCTGCTCCCATCTGTTAATTTAAAATAATATTGTATACATCCATTTTGTGCCTAATTGACAATTTTTGTCGTCTTATATAATGTTAATGAAGAGAATGAACTTTTTCTCAAGAAATCTGTTTTTTTTAAGACAAGTACTTATTGCAAGGAAGTTTTATAAGAACATTATCAATAAGATCTTTACATTTCTAACCCAATTAGCTAACTTAAAATATAATCGCGATGGAAAAATCTAGAATTAGTCACGATTAGGAGACAAAATTTGAGGTACGTACGTCATTTCTTAACAAATATAAGAATATGTTGTCTTTATCAAACATATATATATATATATATATATATATATATATATATATGCGTATAGGTTAATTTTGTAGATGATGAAGTAAAGAGTATACTTAGTGGTGTCACGCAGGGCGGAGTAAACCCTTTTCGCCTGAAAATTATATTGTATATAGCCAAAATTTATATATATACAATATATACTGTATATATAAGGTCAAAACCTGTTTAGTTACTTGCGGCTCTTCAACTTGTTTATGTTTTCAGTTAAGCTTTTCCCTAATAAATATTATGTATTAGTAATCGGGCTCTGAATTTAACTTTTATACATATTTAATTAATTTTTAATATAAATACAAAATTTAAACTAAAACTATTGGATTTAACTGCTTTGGAGTATACTCTATCTTGCAAGTTAGTACACAGTTAAACATTCTTTACCCTAATTATAATGGATAGGGTAGGCCGACAATGAAAATTGTTTGAGAAGCTATTGAATAATATTCAAAACACTAATGCAAACCCATACTGATTAATGAGAATTAACTAACATGATTAGCTAAATCTCTGATCATATGCTAAACTAATTAAACGGATCGATCAATCTACCTCAGAAGCGAATACATAATTTAAATAGTTTAGGTTCAACCTTTAAAGTTATTAACATCAAACTCATTATACTTTTATTAAAAGTATTTATTCAAATCTAATATTTGACGAGATTTTAGAAATTCTCATATTTGCACCTATATAATTTCGTGTTGAAAATATTAGGTTCTAATCGAAGAGGTTCATCCGCTATTGCTAGCTAGGAATTAAGGTTGATAATAATTGACATGGTACAATATTATTTCCCCCAAAAGATAACGAGGACATAGAAACGTGGTGATGACGAAATAGGTGATCGAATAGTTGAGTAAGCGTAGGAAAATGGAAAGAAAGAAAAAAGAAGTGCTAAAAAAGAAAAAAATGAATTTTTTTGTTGACTCGAGTCATTATTCACTATCACGTCGAATTAAGTTGATGATCTAAAAAAAATCATACAGTGGTAATAAACCGTAGTTAACTCATACTAGCTATCGACTTTAAGTTATATACATCATCAGTATAAAATATTTATACACAATTATATCATTTTTAATTTACTTCTTGTAGCCGGTAACCCGTTTTATTTTACAGAATATAAATCCGACATCTTAAGAAGGTTTACCTGTAGATATTCTTTAAATAATCTAATAGTATAAAAAATACTTTACACAACCCGTTTTATTTTACAGAATACAAATCTGACATTTTAAGAAAGTTTACCTGTAAATATTTTTTGAATAATCTAATAGTATAAAAAATACTTTACACTGATAATATATATATCTCTTTAGTTATTATGCTATTGAAAAATTACTCAGAGAAAAGTGAGATCATCAGTTTTAGAATAAAAGTTGGTGGATTATATAAAGGTGGGTAGGAAGGCAAATTATCATACAAATAAAGTTTCTTTTTCTTTCTTATGTTAACTGAGTAAGTAGCTAGTGATGGGAAGACAACCTTGTTGTGACAAACTTGGAGTTAAAAAAGGGCCATGGACAACTGAAGAAGACAAGAAACTCATCAATTTCCTTCTCACAAATGGCCAATGTTGTTGGCGTTCTGTCCCTAAACTCGCCGGCCTTCGGCGCTGCGGTAAGAGTTGTCGTCTCCGATGAACTAATTACCTTCACCCTGACTTGAAAAGGGGCGTTCTGACTGAAGTCGAGGAGAAGTTAGTTATTGATCTCCACTCTTGTCTTGGTAATAGGTACTATTATACTTTCTTTATCTTCGCTCTCTAAAATAAAAGAAAGAGAATGAAGAGATTGACCACGCGTTGGTTCCCAGATGTTTTTCATACTAAAATCAAGGATTCAACTAGTTTTTGGCATTTTTCACTACATTCAACCTGATTCACCATCTATGTTCCCTTTATGCCTCGTCATAAAATGAAAGAAAGAAAATGAAGAGACTGACTACGTGTCGATTCCTAGATGTTGTTCTTATTAAATCTGAGGTTTCACTAATTTTTGGCAGTTTTCACTACATTCAGCCTGATTCACTATCTATGTGCCCTTTATGCCAAGTCATTGCGAAGAACACTTATTGAAATTTTGATACCAAGTAAACAATAATCTTATCACTCTTTTACATACACCAAGTTGTAGTATTTTTATCTAGAATTTCTTATTTTTGATTCATCATGATTAAGCATTGTTATTTTCTTTTTTCCTTCCTTTGTCTCTATGTTGTATATTTTTCATGAACATGTTTCATGTCATAAGTTTCAATTCTAATTTTGTTAAACTTTTGTAATGATTGTTATGAGGTATTAACATATTGTAAATTATTAGGTGGTCCAAAATTGCTGTAAGATTACCAGGAAGGACTGATAATGAAATTAAAAATAATTGGAACTCATATTAAGAAAAAACTTCTCAAGATGGGAATTGATCCTATTACTCATGAACCACTCCATAAGGAAACAAAGCCAAGTAATCAAAGTACCACAACTGGTCATCAGCAGGTCCATGTAGTACCAGAGAGTACAAATGTCACAGCACAGAGTACAAATGTCGTAGCTGAAAGTACAAATGTTACAAAAGCATCCACCTCCTTAGAACTAGAGAACTCATCAATATCTTCATCTGATTTATCTTTCTCCCCAAATGAAAACTCTTCTTGCATTACTGATGAAACTCAGCTTGTTCTTGACACCTTTAATGAAGACGATACGCTGCTAGATACCCTACTGCATACTGATGTTGCTCATCTCATTGACTCCCCATGGGAATTTTCAGCTTCTGCTACTGCTCAAAAGCAAAATTTTGATAATGAGAATTTTAATTGGTTATTAGATTGTCAAGATTTTGGGATCCAAGACTTTGGCTTTGATAACTTCAATGTCGAAAAGGACTTCATCTTGAACACAATAGATGACATTGGCAACAAAAAGTAGTTGCAGATTTTACAACAAGTATAACTAAGCCTCAAGCCCTCAATCCCAAGCAAGTCGGAATCGGCCGTATGAATTTTCACCATCTATATCGCTCTATTGAAGCACGTCTCAATCCTTACAAATTTTCTCAGATGAAAAATCAATATACGGGAGTAAGGAAAGAACATAGCCAAGAAAATCTAGCTAGTATTTACAACACAGTGATTTTTTTACATGCATGTTTAATTGTTTACTAAGGTATCATGTCTAGAGTACGTACTAAATAGTTAGATTTTGTTTATATTGTACAATATTTGTAGAATATATTCGCGGAAGGGTAGGCTGTCTATATGTTACGAGTTCGAACCATAGAAACAACCATTAAGATTTGCATTAGGGTAGACTATCTACATCACCCTCCTTTTGATGAGGTCTTTTTTCGTACTCTATGTGAATAGAAAAATGATACTTTGTGCATTGGACTGCCTTTTATATTCGCGAAAGGGTCCAAAGATACAGTCTTGGATCAACCATACACAAAAAATGAAAAATAAAATTGTATATAGCTAGTATGTAGTAGCAATAGTTAATTGGAATTACTCCCACGCAAATGATAACTTTGAGGCAAATTATAATGGGGTTCACGAGTATATACCAAGAAAACTTTGTAAATATACTGTATATACATTGGCGGAGCCACATTCAACTAACCCCTTCGTCCAAAAGTTACACTGTATAGCTAGATAAATTTTTTTGTATTATGTATATTTACTATATGTCGATTCCCCTTAGCTTTTCGGTGTATCTAATTTTTTATATTTTTGACATCCCTCGGTGAAAATTTATTGTTTGCACAGAATTCACCTTTTTAAGTATGACAGTGAAGTGTTAACCTTACGCTAGTGAATTCGTTCAACATGTAACCAATTTATCTGAACTTTTTATAATTAAGGAAATATTTTGCGATAGAAAATTCTATTTTTTGCGATAGCCAAGTACTTAAACCCATCATATTCAATCTAAAGAAAATTAAGATTTACTTTAATAAAATGACTCATTGTACAGCATACCAAATTTAGTACCTTAGTAAGATGCACTAACACCCATTTGTGTTACATTATTAATTTTTATTATAAAAAAGAAATATTGTTTCAGAAAATATTACCCCTAAAAAGTTTAGAGACGTTAGTAATGAATAATTAGGGGTCTTTACAAAATAGCCGATCTAGTTCATTATTTACTTTTTCTAGCCAGTATATATAAATTATACAATAATTATATACGATTATACACATATTATATATAAATTATATATATATATTATACATCCACCATCTATTATAATTTTAAGTTCTTGGGTAGGCGGTTATTTGAATTAATTATACTGATTAAGAAAAATAAACAGTAAATTCAAATGGCTATTTGCGTAAACATTCCAGTAAATGATGAATTAATAAAATCAAAATATGGGCTGGGTACCGACCCGGATGCCAAAGACTTCGGGAGGAGCCCAAATATATTGAAGCACGTGAGCATCACGTGAGAAGGCAAGAACCGATCTTCTCGTTAACTCGCCCTAAATAATCGGCTGGGGCGATTACAGCAAAATTCCTCGGATCGCCATCGCCGATTTTTCACCAACCACCGTCAAACACCGTCAACAACCACAATAATCACCAGGTAAATATTCCTCTCCGTCGAATATTCTAGATCCTTCTATAACTAGATGCTATAATATTAAAAATTAGCTCATCTTTTCGCAGTTGTGTATAAGGCTTTGAAATTTTTTAGTTTAATGCTTCAAACTGATAAAATGAGCTAAACTTAATATTGTGACTAATTATTTGGATTTTTCTTGAACTTTGTAGGTTGTTAATGCTGATTATTGCTTATGTTGATATGACGGTGTTTGACCGAGTAGTGAGTTTAAGATATTAGTTTGACTTGTATATTACATTAGTTGAAGTTTTAAAATTTAAGTACTTTAACTGAACTCAAAATTCTGATTTACTACCTGGCTTTTCTTGAACTTTGGAGGTGGTTAACGGTTATAATTGTTTCTGTCACATTTTATATGACGTTGTTTGGCTGAATACTGAGTTTAAGATATTAGTTTGACTTGTATGTTATATCAGTGGACGTTGAAGAAAAATATTAAAGCAATTGTTAAAAAGTTCGTTTGACTGAGAAAATATCATGTCAAAGTTTTAAAATTTAAGTACTATAATGAATTTGAAGTCGTGAAAGCTATATAAAACAACAATATTATTGGAATGGTGTTAAATAATTTGGAATGTTCCATAATAGAAAGGGGAAAGTGAGTTTTTTTTCACTTGGGTATTTCAATGTCAAATATTCTTGTTCAATTCTGTAGTTTAAGCATAGATCTAAAGAGGGGTAATTTTATTCTTGCATGCTAGATTATTGTCAAGTGATAATCTCTTTATTTTGTGCTAGTTTGATATGATGCAGAGAGCTTTAGTTTACAACTCATATATAATATTACTACTAGTACAGGGGAAAAACCTCTCTTGCTTAGTCTAAAGTTATGGTTAGAGGAAGAGATTCATGTTGGGAACATTGTGTCCTTGTTGATGCAACTAGACAGAAGGTAAGATGTAACTATTGCCGGCGGGAGTTCAGTGGAGGAGTTTACAGAATGAAGTTTCATTTGGCTCAAATAAAAAACAAAGACATAGTTCCATGTGCTGAAGTCCCGAACGAGGTGAGAGATCACATTAGAAGCATTTTAAACACTCCGATGAAACAGAAAAATCCTAAGAAACCAAAGCTGGATCAAGCTGCCAATGATCAGCAAAGAAGCTCTTCAGCTAGTGGTGGACTCCATCCTCTTCGTGGATTTAGTGGAGAGAACGGTAGCCCTTGTCCTTCTATTATGTTTGCGCGCCATTCTCCGAGTTCACAGCTAGCAGTTGATGATGCTCAAAAGCAAAAACAGGACAATGCTGATAAGAATATTGCTGCGTTTTTCTACCACAATGCAATACCTTTTACAGCCGCAAAGTCCTTGTACTATCAGGAAATGGTGGACGCGATTCTTGAGTGCGAAGTAGGGTATAAAGCTCCATGTGCTGAAAAATTGGGCGGTAATCTTTTGGAAAAAGTCAAAGTCGATATTAACGACAATCACAAGAGATTAAAGGATGAATGGAAAGAAACGGGCTGTACAATCTTGTGTGATTGCTGGTCCGATGGAAAGACTAAATCCCTTGTGGTACTTTCTGTGGCATGTGCCAAAGGGACATTGTTCCTTAGGTCCGTAGACGTATCTGATCATGCAGATGATCCTCATTATTTATTTGGGTTGCTTGAATCAGTTGTTCTGGAAATTGGCATGAATAATGTTGTCCAAGTTATTACCGATAGTTCTGCTAGTTACATATATGCGGGAACGCTTCTCACAGACAAGTACCCTTCGGTTTTCTGGTCTCCGTGCGCTTCCCATTGTATCAATAAAATGTTGGAGGATTTTAGTAAACATGAGTGGGTGAATTTTGTTCTTGACGAGGCAAATACAATCACAAAGTACATATACGGTAATCACTGGATTCTAAATATGATGAGAAAATTTTCAGGTGGAGAGGAGTTTGTTCGACCAAGAATTACAAAAAATGTGGCTAATTTCCTTTCCTTAAGGGCCCTTGTGATTCAAGAGGATAATTTAAAACACATGTTTTCTCGTGCCGAATGGTTGTCATCTATATATAGTAGGCACCACGACGTCCAGGCCATAAAGTCATTGTTGTGCCTTGAAAGATTCTGGAGATCCGCACGTGAAGCTGTCGCGGTGTCCGAACCGTTACTTAAACTGTTAAGGATCATGGATGGAGACATGCCAGCTATGGCATATATGTATGACGGAGTGGAAAGAGCAAAGATGTCCATAAAAGCATTCTATAAGGATGTTGATGAAAACTTTGCGCCGATTTGGGATATAATTGACAGGAGATGGAGCACGCTTCTTCAATCCCCATTACATGCAGCAGCAGCATTCCTTAATCCTTCCATTTTCTACAATCCAAACTTTAAGATTGATTCAAGGATCAGGAATGGTTTTCAAGAAGCCATGACGAAAATGGCGTCCGAGGATAAAGATATAATAGAAATTACTAAAGAACATCCCATATACATAAAGGCTCAAGGTGCTCTAGGGACTGATTTTGCAATAAAGGGCAGGACACTGAATGCCCCAGGTATATAAGGTTAAACTTCAATTGCCAGAAGTTCACTTGCATAATATTAACTTGTTAGGAAGTGGATCTCCGGTTTAATTTATAAGCTGTAATATGTACATAAACATGTAGCTTATACTTTATACTGTAAGTCAAATAATATATTTATAAACTCTAGCATAATGTTTAGGAAAGAAGTTGATAGGCTTATTCTACCATTAACATATAGGAAACAGGATTTCTAGTTGATTCGATATTTTATTCCTCGAATTGTCATAGCAGTTTAAAGTCTGCTCCGTGTGTCTTCAGCTGATTGGTGGATGGGTTATGGTTACGAAATTCCAAGTCTACAGAGAGCTGCTATACGGATTTTGAGTCAACCTTGCAGTCTGCACTGGTGTAGATGGAACTGGAGCACTTTTGATAGTGTTCATAGCAAAAGACGGGACAGGTTGGAGCCTGATAGATTTGACGATCTTGTTTATGTGCACTTCAATCTCTGGTTACAGGCAATTGTAAGAAGTAAAGATAGCAAATGTAAGCCAATCAATTTTGATGAAATAGATGTCGGTGCTGAATGGCCTACTGAAGCTGAAGTTGTATGCACTTTCTTGGATGATTCCTGGTTGCACACTGCACCCATTGAAGGCAGAGGTATCCCTTCATTTAGTAAATTATCTATAAATGCAGATAATAAGTTTTATTTCTCTAATTTTTTATTGGCCTATCTGAAACATAAATACTTCTGGATTATCTATGGTTGCACAATTCATCCCTTATGTGAATACTTCTGAATTCTGAATTGCAATGATTCGAGTATTGATAATTTTATAGCTGATATATGTTTGTGACCAGGCAGTGATTTTTCTTTGTTTATAAAGCTGGAATATTTTGGTATCTGGCTTAAATGTCGTTATACAAAATTGCAGTATGAATCATATTTTATTAGCACCCTAACAATCAGAAATATTAATCCCAGTAATAATTTTGTCATGGACCTTTTTTTGAGAATGGTAACAGTATATTCATCAGCATTAAGGAAGAGCCGGGCACCATATTTACAAAATAGATTTAGCAAAAGAGAACTTTATTCTTCTTACGAGGTTACTACAAGGCTTCTAGAAAATCTAGTAATGAAACAGTATCTTCTAGATTTTGTCATGGACCTTCTCATCAAATTACTTACATCACAAACACTTGGTGTCAAAGGTTATTCATTTCCATCAGGGATTATATAGCTCGCCTTACATGGGGGTTTATCTGATGAGTAGGTGGACGTAGATCCATTGATGATAACCTATGAGAGATGAAGTGCATTGTTGGCCTTGATTTTGGAGTTTCAAACAAACAAGAGCTTGCTAGATTGATGATAAAAAACAAAACCTCTTTTACTCTTATCTTCAGGACATGGAAGGCGTTCATCCAGTAAATCACTAAGCTGCACATGATCTCTAGTCGATGAATTTGCTAGCAGAGTAATGCATTCCCCAAGATGCTTTCCTTTGATTATCTCTAATGCTAATACTCCAAAACTATAGACATCACACATTTGTGTAACCTTCATTGTATATGCAAGCTCTGAAACAATAAAATTTCCAAAACAGTATAACAATTCAAACGTGTAAATGAGATAAAAACAGCACAGAGTGTGCGGCTATACTTCATGAAATTGTTAAAAAAAAGGATAGAAAGTTAGACCTTACCAGGGGCAACAAAGCCATATGTGCCTGCAAGCGTAGTGCAGTTGGATGAGTCTGGCATGAGAAGCTTAGCTATGCCAAAATCTGAAACTCGAGCTTCATTCTCAGAATCAAGCAAAACATTACTGCTTGATATGTCTCGATGAACAATCGGTGGTGAGCAATCCTGGTGCAGGTAAGATAAAGCAAAAGCAACACCTTTGATGATATTCACCCTTTTAAGCCAATCCAAATTCTTGGACTCAACTTCATTACTCAAAATACTAGACAAACTCCCCCTCTCTGCATACTCGTAAACCAAGAACGAGTGTTCTGCATTCGAACAAAAGCCATAGAGTTTCACAATGTTCCGATGCTTAGTCCCTATCAATGCCCTTACCTCATTCATGAAGCTTTTGCGATGTGTATTCTCAAATGAAGAATGAAGTCTCTTCACAGCTATATTCCCTAATGATGGAAGGTTTACCTTGTAAACGCTTCCATGTCCTCCTTGCCCGATGCAAAATGTTGAATCAAACTCCTCTGTGGCGTTTAAGATATCCTTGTACAATGCTTTTCCATCTAACATGGATATCGAAAACAAACCATCATACCGTCTTTCAACGTCTTTAACTTTCCTTCTTTTATCACACATAAGGAGAACACCAATGAAAGCACAGAGAAGTACTAGTGCTCCCATAACAGGAAGTACAGTGACGAGGATGAGTTTACGTCTTGAGTGCTTCTTCACCACAGAAAATGGACTTTCACCAGGCTGGAATCCTGTTACATTGCCGCAAAGACCTTTATTACCTTCTAATAAGGCAGTCAAAAATGCTTTATTATTTGGTATTGGACCTTCCAACTCATTGTATTACAAGACAACATCCTGCAAAGCAGTTAAACTTTCAAATTCTTCAGGAATGCGGCCAGAGAGGCCATTGTGAGAAAGATTCAAGTTTGCCAAGTCTAGCAAACTGGCTAACTGAGCAGGTATTTCTCCATCAAGAAGGTTATGGCTCAAATCAAGTACACTGAGATGAGTTATCCTCCCTATCTCTTCTGGAATTTTCTGGCCGAACTTGTTGTTGCTCAGGTTCAAGAGAAACGTTCTCATGTAATCTCCTATAAATGTTGGAATCGACCCGTTCAATCTATTATCTGACAGATCAAGGGACTCTAACTTTGTTAGTGACTCAAGCTCTGTAGGAATTCTACCATGAATGTGGTTGTCCTTCACAATTAATTTAACTAAAGAGGTCAATTTTCCAAATTCCTTAGGAATCTGCCCAGCTAAATGATTCGATGAAAGATCAAGTCCTAGAAGCCTTTTGAGATTTCCGATCTCTGGTGGTATTCTACCACTAATGTTATTTCTGGCTATCTGCAGATTAGTCAGATTCTTGCATTTCCCCCAGTTGCTGCTGAGTTCACCATGAAAATCATTGTCACTCAAATCAATGAACTGAAGCTCTGGATAGATGCCAAAAGCTTCAGATAAATTTCCAGTGAAACTGTTGTTAGAAAAACGAACCCATCGGAAACTCGAGCACTTGCTCAAGCTTCGTGGTATTGACCCTGTCAGCTTGTTACTAGTCACCGAGAAGCTCACAAGCTTCCCACCTTGGCAAAGATGCTCTGGCAATTGGCCTGAAAACTGATTTACACCCAATGCCAGCACAACCAAGTTATCTAAATATTCAAGTTCTTTAGGAATGGAACCTGAAAGTTTGTTGTGATAGAGAGAGAGAGCTTGCAAGTTTCTCAAGTTGCCAAATGAAGCAGGAATTGAACCAGTAAGTTGATTACTGGATAAATCCAGACTAGTGAGATTTTTCAGATTCCCCAACTCACTGGGAATGAGACCAGACAATTCATTGGAGTTAGCATAGAAGTGTTTTGCGTTGACCAAGTTACTTATTTCTACAGGAATATGACCTGTTAACTGGTTTGTATTAAGATCAGCTTTAATAAGATTGACAAGTTTCCCTATTTCGGCAGGAATGGAGCCAGAAAGTTTGTTAACATGAAGGTGCAGAGTTTTGAGCTCAGTTAAGTCACCTAGAGTTTTTGGAATTTGACCAGAAAGATTGTTAGCCTGTTAGATTAAATGCTCAAGTGACTTCATTTTCCCTATTTCTGCAGGAATGGAGCCAGAAAGTCTATTAACATGAAGAAACAGAAATTGCAAGTTTCTCAAATTGCCAAATGAAGCAGGAATTGGACCAGCAAGTTGATTACGCGATAATTCCAGATCCATGAGGTTTTCCAGATTTCCCAACTCACTAGGAATGGAGCCAGAAAGTTTGTTAACATAAAGGTACAAAAGTTTGAGCTCAATTAAATCACCTATACTGTTTGGGATTGGACCAGAAAGATTGTTTCTATATAACAATAAATGCTCAAGTGACTTCATTTTTCCTATTTCAGCAGGAATAGGACCAGACAATTCATTGGAGAAAGCATAGAAATTTTTTGCATTGATCAAGTTACCTATTTCTAGAGGAATATGATCTGTTAATTGGTTTTTCTGAAGACGAGCTTCAACAAGATTGACAAGTGCGCCAATTTGTGGCGGGATTGTGCCTGAAATCTGATTAGTCGACAAGTCAAGATAGACAAGATTAGTGAGTTTGCCTATTTCAGGTGGGATAGTGCCAGAGAGCTGGTTCATGCTAATATCAACATATTCAAGAAAAGGGAGGGACGAAAATGGAAAATCATAGAGCGTGCCAATGACACCAACATTTGTAATATTCAACTTGTTTACCCTACCGTTGACGCATATAACTCCATACCAGCCCCTGCATGCATCAGAACTTAGTTTCCAAGAAGCCAACAAGGTATTATTCTGGTTTTGGAAAGTGGCTTTCCATTTGAGGAGAGCAGTTGCTTCCTCAGTGGAAGCAAAAGTAAATGTGAAGAGATATAAGAAAGTGAAAAACTGAATTAAAAAATTGTTCTTGGAATCTTCATTATGGCTAAAGGATTTAAGTTGTTTATTTTGTTTATTGATGAACTTGTGTGCAGAGTAGAGTTCTCAGCTAAAATACAGGTAGAATTAGAAATACAGGAAAATTGGAGATGTTAAGGCCAAACACTGATTTTGGAAAATGGTGAAATTTTGTTTTTTGGCCAAACGGGCCCTTAATGTTTCACTAACTCCTGCCCAATTATACTTGATTTGACGTATGGATAGTATAACATACATAATTGATCGAAATTAATTATAGAATAAGAAGCAGCTTTACTTGTTAGTACGGAGGTTTCCTCCAAGTTTTTATTATAATAATTACATGAAAGCCATCATTCATGAATATCGAACCAGTCGTTGTCCGTTTCCCCGCCAACCATTGAAAGCATAAAGCTTCTAAACTTTGATTTTGAATTTGACTTTTTTTAAATTATTATTTGTTTTGATTGGGTATGCCAGACATCCTCGTCGCCCGCTTGGTAGTGAGGCTCGACTCACAAGTCATCCCCAAGAGAGAAAGTTTCAAGTACCTAGGGTCAATCATCCAGGGAGATGGGAAGATCGACGAGGATGTCACGCATCGTATTGGGGTGGGGTGGATGAAATGGCGGTTAGCGTCTGGAGTCTTGTGTAACAAGAAGATGCCACCGAAACTCAAAGGTAAGTTTTACAGAGCGGTGGTTAGACCGGCTATGTTGTATGGGGTTGAGTGTTGGCCAGTGAAGAATTCATATATCTAGAAGATGAAAGTAGCCGAAATGAGGATGTTGAGATGGATGTGCGGGCATACTAAACTGGATAAGATAAGGAATGAAGATATTCGAGAGAGGGTGGGCATTTCCCCGTGGACGACAAGATGCGAGAAGTGAGGCTTAGGTGGTTCGGGCACGTGCGGAGGAGAACCATAGATGCCCCGGTTAGGAGGTGTGAGCGGTTGGCTTTGGCAGGGACGAGAAGAGGCAGATGGCGGCCTAAGAAGTATTGGGGCGAGGTGATCAGGCAAAACATGGCGCAACTTCGGATTTCCGAGGACATGGCTCTTGATAGAAACATGTGGAGGTCGAGCATTAGGGTGGTAGGCTAGGAGGTAGTCGAGAGTTCTTCCCTCTTTGTACCGGGTAGTCTGATAGAGTTTTGTTTAGGTTTATTAGCGGTCTATGTTGTGTTCATATTGTTGTTTTGCATAGTTTTATGTTATTGTCCTTTCACTTATTCGTTGCTGTTATTATCTTTCTCACATCTTTTGTTGTTACAGGCCTTTTCTTTTGTTTCTCTTCTAATATTATTGTCTCGTCTGTTGAGCTGAGAGTCTCCCGGAAATAGCCTCTTTACCCTTTTCGGGGTAGGGGTAAGGTCTGCGTACACTCTACTCTCTCCAGACCCCACTAGTGAGATTTTACTGGGTATGTTGTTATTGTTGTTGTTGTATTGGGTATTGCTGCAAACTATCGAAAATATTCTTTCGAGTTTATATCTCAATTTTGAGGGTGTTTGGTGAAGATTAGAATTGATTTTAGATGAATTTTCAAATTGAAACTGGAAGATGTATTAAATTTGTATTATAATTGTATTTAAGTTATGTTTTGTTGTAGTTATATTTTTTTTTATTTGAATGTTGTATGAAAGTTGAAAAATAGTTGTATCATGTATGAAATTTATATTTAAGTTATAAATACTTTCTTTTTATAAAGTTATTGATATATATCAAAATTGTATTAAGAGAGAAAGTTTTGATTGGAATTTCAGAGAACACGAACACACCACATACAAAATATATACAAATCATATAAAAAAGACATATTTATATAAAATTTGTATGAAAATTGTATTTAAGTTGTATGATGTTGTACTTTTAACTGAGTAAAAATGATGTATAAAAGTTATAGATAAGATATAAATAGGTTGCATACTATATAATTAGTGGTATAAAATTTATTTTTAGTTTATATGTTATTGTGGATGGATTAAATTTGTATCAAATTTAAATGTTTCGGCATTCAACTTGTTTGGTTTAGGTGATGTCTATCGTTAGTGTATCTATTGCTTTGGTTTGATGCTACTTTCTGGTTCAAGCTATTAAAATAGTTTTATAAGATTTGGTTCTCAATTAATTCTTGGACTATTTTACGTTATTGTGGTTCGACATTATTGGAATTGCTCTACTACAGTTAAGGCACTATTGGAAAGAGGACATGATAGAAAAAAAGAAAAATGTGTAATTGAATCCCATAATTTAAGGCACTAATAATGAATTGTATATGGAGAGAGAAGAGAAAAGAGAAAAAAATGAAAAAGGGTATAACTTAATCTCCTAATTTAAAGCACTAATAATGAATTGTATATAAATTGTAAGCAATCCTGTCACGATCCGATTTTTTCTCCATTGGGTATCGTGATGACACCTAGTCTTAGGGACTAGGTAAGCATAACATTTATTTAATAACAACAATAATTTAATAACATCTAACAATCTTTGAAATGGAAACCTCTATAAAATTTATAATTATCAAAACCGGTAGTACAAGTCATAAGCTCTACTGAATTACTAGAAAGCCTACAAATATAAATGTTTTGAAATAGAGATAAAATAGTGCAAGTACAATATCAGAAGGTGACTCCAAAGCCTGCAAACGCAGCAACAGATTTACCTTGAATCTCCACAGTAAAATTCGTACTGCTAGCGAGCAGTCAACTGACTCCACATTACCTGGCTTTGCACAAAAATATGCAGAAGTGTAGTATGAGTATACCCCAGTCGGTACACAGTAAGTATCAAGAACCTCAGTAGAGTAGTGACAAGGTACAGTCAAGACACTCACTAGTTAACTAACCTGTGCAATATAGCAGTATACAATAGTACTGGAAAAATAACTAACAATGATAACAACAAAATAAACTAGTGACATAACATCAAGGCAACAAGAACATCATAATTATTGCTTAGACGAATAAGGAACACAAGTACAATCAATTAATCAAGTCCTTCAAATATAAATCCTTCACATATTATTCTTTAAGACAAATATCTTTCGAATATACTTCTTTTGAATAAATATCTTTCGAATATACTTCTTTCAAATAAATATATTTTCAAGTAAAAGTCACCATGTGACACCTCATTTCACAATCATAAAAATTACGGGTCTCAGCCCACATTCATATTTTCCACGACACCTCGTGCCCATATTTCTATCACAACCACACGGATAACTCACGTGTCAATAATAAAATCATCACATTTTTCCCAGCACCTCATGCTCATATTTCTTTCATAACCACACAGACAACTCACGTACCAAAATATCAATGTATATAAGATCCGCAAGATCAATTTATTTTCAATAAAGTAAGTTTATAATTTTTAAATCAAGTAAGAAATCATCAAAGAAATGAGTTTATTTTTTTTAACTCGTTTGGGTGAAGAAAATGATATTTCAATTAAAATGAAGCATCCGATGACTACTAATTTGGGTGTAAAAATTATTAATTAAAAACATAATAGCAAATTCTTAGAGTCTTGTACAAAGAGCCAGAACCATCACAGTACAACAAGGAATACAAAACACGTAATAAAATCAAATAATACATCATGGAAGAACACAAGAATTTACATATCACAAAAAAATAAAATAACCAAAGGCAAGTGCAACCATAGTCCCAAAGTAAATGCTCAACAAGGGATCTCCCGAGGTACAACCTCGTAGTTCTAAAAATAAATATGCAACAACAACAATGCCCCCCAGGCCATCACAAATCAATCCTCGACATAGCCCACCTTGTCTCGCTACGTGTGCAACCTGTAAAGTAAATGCCCGCCTTTTCTCGCCACACGTACATAACAATGTTCCCACCTTGTCTCTCCATATGCGCAAACCCACACACATATATATANAAAAGTTTGACGGGGGGGGGGGTTGACTTTTTGATATCGGGGTCGAAATCCGATTCTAAAAATTTTAATAGGTCCATTATGTTATTTATGATATGTGTGCAAAATTTGAAGTCAATTGGACGTGAATTGATAGGTTTCAACGTTGTTTGTGGAAACTTGAAATTTCAAAGTTTATTAGGCTTGAATTGAGGTATAATTCGTGTTTTTAGTGTTGTTGGATGTGATTTGAAGACTCGACTAAGTTCGTATGACGTTTTAGGACTTGTTGGTATATTTGGTTGAGGTCCCGAGGGGCTCGGGTGAGTTTCAGATGGTTAATGGATAAAAAATTTAGACTTGAATAGCTGCTGGAATTTTTTGATATCTGATTCTGTTTTCCTTCTACGCGATCGCGTGAATATGTTTGCGATCACGTAGGCTTAGTTGGCCAGTGGAGGTTTTTGTTCTACGCGATCGCGTGGGGATATCTGCAATCGCGTAGGGTTAATTTGAGGCAATGATATTCTGTGCTTCGCAATCGCATGAAGCGGGACGCGATCGCGTAGCTATGTGAGTTTGTTATTCGTGAACGCGTGAAGAAGATCGCATTCGCGTAGAGTAGGTGGACCGGAAATCAAAGTCACACGTTTTGTGCTTCGCGATCGCGTGGACCAGTCCGCGATAGCGTAGGTCTGTGAAGTTATGCATCGCGATCGCGTGGTTAGGTCCGCGATCGCGTAGAGTTAAATCTGGACGGTGGAAAATTGTTTTTCACGATCGCGTGAGAATGTTCGCGATCGCGTAGAGCAAATGACTGGGTAGTGAGTTTATGTTCTGAAAATGGGACTTCATCCCATTTTTTATTTTTGACGGATTAGAGCTCGGGAAATGGCGATTTTTGGGAGATGTTCAGAGAAAACAATGGGGTAAGTGTTCTTAACTCAATATTGGTTAAATTACCCGAATCCATGGTTGTTCTTATCGTTTAATTGGTGAATTAAGTTGGAAAAGTTTGAAAATCCTCTTGGATGAATTTGAGGATTTGAGGGCCGAATTGTTATCGGAATTTAGTAATTTTGGTAAGATTAGACTCGTGGTTGAACGAGCATTCATATTTTGTAACCTTTGTCGGATTCCGAGGCGTGGGCCCTACTGATGATTTTTGAGCTAAAAT